TTGGAGTATATTGCACAAATGGAGTATGAATTTATAATAACTAGGTACTGTATTGCATAATCCCATCCATGCATGCACTTGTACTTGTATGATATTGTTCAGAGAAAAAAATAAATAAATAAAAAATAAATATAAATATATATATATATATATACATACACACACACACACATATAATTAATATATATATATATATACATATATGTGTGTATGTGTGTGTGAGTATATATATATATATATATATATATATATATACAAATATATATATATATATATATATATATATATATATAAAATATCTACACTATCTATGTATATATATATATTTTTTATATATATATATATATATATATATATATGCTTATATTTAATTGTGTGGTTTGTGTTTTGTGCACTTTATGTATAGAGCGAGGGAAAGAGAGCATAGGTACGCATATCTAGATAATACATGCATGACTGCATACAGTATTTAATTGTATACATTTATAGTATAGCATATTTGTGCAATGTTTGAGCAGTGTAATGACCACCAGCTGCCCATTTAGCTGACTATTCAAACTTGGCTTTGACAATCACTCTGAAAAGCTTAGCCCCACGATGCCTCACCTTTCCTGTTCGAGTCAACCCGCCGAGTCCTACAAGCTTCTGATCTGTAGTTCTCCTTCACTTAGCCTTCATTAATGCCCCAAACCTCAGCACAGGTTTTGATCTCCCTTCTATCCTAGTGACCCTCCAGACCTTAGGGTACCCCCCTTTTCTTCTCACGCTTTCTACTCCATTCATGTTTTTCAGTGGGAGGACGTAATAAGATGATCAAGGACTTAGCAACATCATTTTTCAGCATAATGAAAGGCCTCTTGTCTTTTAACCTTTGCTTGGGGTCACAAGGTAAAGGTGAGATGCAGGAAAACTGTCCTGACTTAATGGTACATAGAGTTTAACTTCTGCCACCTGTACACATGAAAAGAACTGATTTTCATCTCTGATTGACAAAACTAAATTAACACGGCCTAGAATTAAAAAAGGAAAAAAAACTTTAGGAATTTGGAAGGTTCTGTCATTTGTCATTTAGTGCTCAAGCGCTTTTGTTGACAAACTAAATTTTCTGCTAAAAATAATTTTTGTGCCGTTTGATTTCACTGTTCATACGGCCCTGGTCAGTGCTTTAATCCTTGGACATTTTTAAATCAAACTTACCACCAAAACAAACTTCACAGAGCATTCAAACAATTAGCACCGCACAAAACAAAGATGTATGTTAAGCCAGTGTTTTTCTGGGAGGCAGACTGCACTGTCAGCATTTCAACCCCTGAACCCTTCAGTATCTCAGGCTGTTAATCATACCCTCTTACTAGGCTGCAGAATGATGTAATGGCCTTCTCTCCAGCATTATTCGCAGCCATGTCTGAGAGCAAAACATACAAATACTGACACCTAACAACCAAATATGCACAAAGCACACTTCAACGCAGGCAATAACGGTCATCATCCAATGCTGAGAGGGAGAATTGAGGGGCTTATCATATGAAGAGGAAACTTTCACTACTTGATTGATTTGTCATGAGGCCAAGATGGGTTAATAATAAAAAAAGTACTTTATTCACTATTGAATTGGGAAAGTTAATACCATAAAACAGGCTGAAATCTAGAAAACCAAAACATTTTTGTAATTTAAAAAAAAAAAAAAGTATCAACTCATCCCCAAACAGGTATCACTTGCTCCTGCATATTAGATTGTAAGCTCCAAGGAGCAGGGTCCTCCCAACCCTCTTGTCTTGACTTGTATTGCAACTGTACTGTCACCTGTTAAAAGTGCTGCACTACATAAATCCCTAATAATAATGCAAATAATAGCATTTAAAAGCAATGCAACACTGCTCTTCTGCGACTCGTTTAATTAAGAAAAGTCTGTCCCCAAAATTTGACTCATTAGATTGAACTCACAAGCATTCTTTTAGCCATGTGACTATCATTTTCCGATCTCACTGGTCTCAGCTGACAAGAACTGTCACTTTTTTGTATAGATCCTCCTTCTAATGTGTTAGTTTTCTAAATAGAGATTATTTTCGATTTTCATGATAAATAGTCTCCAATCAGAGATGCATTCTGTGATGCCTATCAACTTGTCACCTCTCTGAAAGATAAAGACTCTCCTGGTATGTTAGCTTATTATTTTCTAATTTCCTAATAAATGATTTCCAATCAGAGATACATTCTGTGATGCTTATCAACTTGTCACCTCTCTGAAAGATAATGACCCTCCTCCTGGTATGTTAGTTTATTATTTTCTAATTTCCTAATAAATGATTTCCAATCAGAGATACATTCTGTGATGCCTATCAACTTGTCACCTCTCTGAAAGATAAAGACTCTCCTGGTATGTTAGTTTATTATTTTCTAATTTCCTAATAAATGATTTCCAATCAGAGATACATTCTGTGATGTCTATCAACTTGTCACCTCTCTGAAAGATAAAGACTCTCCTCCAGGTATGTTAGTTTATTATTTTCTTATTTCCTAATAGATGATTTGCAATCAGAGATACATTCTATGATGTCTATCAACTTGTCACCTCTCTGAAAGATAAAGACACTCCTCCAGGTATGTTAGTTTATTATTTTCTAATTTCCTAATAAATGATTTCCAATCAGAGATACATTCTGTGATGTCTATCAACTTGTCACCTCTCTGAAAGATAAAGACCCTCCTCCTGGTATGTTAGTCTATTATTTTCTAATTTCCTAATACATGATTTGCAATCAGAGATACAATCTGTGATACTTATCAGCTTGTCACTCTTTAGTATATACAGATCCTCCTCCTGGTATGTTGGCTTTGTGAATGGAGACTATATTGTAATTGCCTAATAAATAGTAAAAAAAAAAGTAATGCATACAAACCTACCGCAGAATGCCCCATACTACTACAATGTACAGGCTGATGACTTGTCAAACAATGGAGGGGTTATTTGTCAATAACACTGTCTTGTGTATTACTTTGTGGAGGAGATGGAGCTACCAGTGAAAAGTAGTGTGATGGCACTTGCATATCAATGACTTACTGCTGATCTTATTACTTTCCTAGCATGATCTGGGCATTCCAAATAAATAAATAAATAAAGACAACTTCACTTTCCGTAGGTGAAATCACAGATGACTGAAAAAGTTTTGATCAGCACAGTGAAGAGATTTTCTAAGTTTGGAGGAAGCTGTGCACCTCTCCCTCAGCTCTGCTGTCCTTACAAACTGCTACAAAAGTAAACTGTCACCAAGCAGATTGCATTGGGTGACAACGAGATCACTGAGCTCCCCGCACAGATAATGATCAGCTACCTATACTGGTGACCTATGCTGGCATGAGAAGCACACAAGTGACAGCTACACTGTCAGAACTTCCCCAAACTTTCCGCCAATCACATCCCTGATCGCTGACATCCCTTCTTCATCATCAATGGCATTCTATTAGTAAACACAATACTATGATCAGGGATAACAAGTCGTCATCATCATTTCTAAGTCATTCATACACGGATGAGAACTCCACAGTCAATAAAACGATCTAATCAATAAAATGTATGATCTCATCAACTTACCCAACAAGTGTAGAAGGTGATCAGCCAATGATCTTGTATTTGGGGTTGTTTGTGGTCAGTTTGCTGCCTGGGCTCCCCAGGTGTCAGGCTGACGCTGTGATAGAGCACACAAGTGTTAATGGAACAGTCCTGGAACTTTATTTGGCTGCAGCATGGACAGGGAAAACACTTGGAGCAGCTAACTCTTCACAGACCGCTTCAAGACTATCCGCTTCTTTCTGGAGTGGGGAGTGACTTTCCCCCTGCATCACACTCACTCACACAGTTTTAAAGACACAGTGCCATGTACTACAAAGGAACCACGTTGGACTGAGGGAAGATTACAATACTTTCTATTTAGAGAAGCATTACATCACCCCTTGGTGACGTCACGTGGGATTCCTGAACTTCTAAATCATAGCAGTCTGCTGAGGGGAGGGGTGTGTGGCTGCGGGCTCAGAGGCACACCCCCTGGAGGCTGGTGGATCTCAGCTGTGGCGGATGACTGGATACGGGGCGGGGAGCGGGTGTGGCTGTGGGAGCGAAGTCACGCCTACGGGAGGCTGGTGGATCTCAGCTGCTGGGGGCTGACTGATACGGGGCGGGGAGGGGGTGTGTCTGTGGGGCGGGAGACACACCCCCTGGAGGCTGGTGGCTCTCAGCTGCTGGGGGGTGACACACACAGGGGATCGGAGAGCGCTGCCTGTCACAGAGGGCGGACGGGGCTCTCCGGGGTGGGAGCTGTCATAGCGGGCACACCAAGGCGGGGAGCCCAGTCACCAGTCGCAGAGAGGATTTCCTACTACAGGGCAACCATTGGCTGCTTTGCGGTTCGGTATTGCCATGTCATTTACTGTGAGATCGGAGAAGTAGAAGTAATGGCAAAACCTTTTTTGTTATTTATGTATAGAGTGGATATAGATCAGAACAGCGGTCAGGTTTTATAGCTGCCTGTGTCCCCATTAGGGAGATTCACCCTCTCTAGCAGTCCTGTTTACTGTTGTCACCAAAAGTGAAAGAAAATCCCAAATGTTGGGTAGTCACAAGAACAGGAAAATGTATTATTATGTATTTACAGTACTTGTATAGCGCCATCAATTTATGCACTGCTTTTACATATATACTGTGTTTATACATTCATATCAGTCCCTAATCCTCAAGGGGTATACAATGTAAGGTCCCTAACTCACATTCATACATACACATACTAGGGCCAATTTAGACAGGATCCAATTAACCTACCAGCATGTCTTTGGAGCGTGGGAGGAAACCGGAGTACCCAGAGGAAATCCACGCAGGCACAGGGAGAACATGCAAACTCCAGGCAGGTGGTGCTGTGGTTGGGATTTGAACAACCATAGTACTGCCAGGCAGAAGTGCTAACCATTCAGTCACTGTTCTGTCCATAGCAGGGACGGACTGACAACTCATGGGGCCACCGGGCAATAGGGGATCATGGGGCCCCTGTATCCTTGCCCAAATCAAAAAAGCCTATGAAAAAGGTACCAGGGGCATCTCATGGGGCCCCCTACTGACCCCGTGCCCTCGGGCAGTACCCAAGTTTCCAAATGGTCAGTCTGCCCCTGGCCAATAGAGAATAGAGGGAAATCTTCCCATGGGGACACTCGTTCTGGTGACAACCAGGGATTCCATCACTTGGGATGGATTTCCTCTAACTTCCGGATTTGGATATTGGACAGGAAATGAAGGGAAATCTCCTCAAGGAATCTCTAAAGGGGTTTTAAGTCTTCCGTACACCATGGCCAGATCTAGGGGGGTGCTGGGGTGGGCTATGCACCCCCAGATTTTAGTTGTGCACCCCTCCATAGCAATCCCTAACCTGACATTATACTGCCCCAATACCTTACCACCCTAATCTGATACTTTACTGCCCTAGCCTGACAGTATACTGTCCTTGACTGACACTATACTGATCTCAGGTATGCGTTGTGTGGGGAGGAGGAGCTCTGCTGTCTGTGTTGTGTGCAGCGCAGGGATGGGAGAAAGAGCTGTGCCCCTGTCCTCTGTCCTGCCGGCAGTCACCCCTGTCCTCTGTCCTGCCGGCAGTCACCCCTGTCCTCTTTCCTGCCGGCAGTCCTCCCTGTCCTCTGTCCTGCCGGCAGTGACCCCTGTCCTCTGTCCTGCCGGCAGTCACCCCTGTCCTCTGTCCTGCCGGCAGTCACCCCTGTCCTCTTTCCTGCCGGCAGTCCTCCCTGTCCTCTGTCCTGTCGGCAGTCACCCCTGTCCTCTGTCCTGCCGGCAGTCTTCCCTGTCCTCTGTCCTGCCGGCAGTGACCCCTGTCCTCTGTCCTGCCGGCAGTCACCCCTGCAGTCACCCCTCTGTCCTGCCGGCAGTGACCCCCCTGTCCTCTGCCCTGCCGGCAGTGACCACTGTCCTCTGTCCTGCCGGCAGTCACCCCTGTCCTCTGTCCTGCCGGCAGTGACCCCTGTCCTCTGCCCTGCCGGCAGTGACCCCTGTCCTCTGCCCTTCCGGCAGTGACCCCTGTCCTCTGTCCTGCCGGCAGTGACCCCTGTCCTCTGCCCTGCTGGCAATTATCTCTGTCCTCTGCCCTGCCGGAAACGATCCCTGTCTTCTGCCCTGCCGGTAGTGACCCCTGTCCTCTGCCCTGCCGGCAATTATCTCTGTCCTCTGCCCTGCCGGCAGTGATCCCTGTCCTCTGCCCCGACGGCAGTGACCCCTGTCCTCTGCCCCGCCAGCAGTGACCCCTGTCTTCTGCTCTGCTGGCAGTGAACCCTGTCCTCTGACCTGCCAGCAGTGACCCCTGTCTTCTGCCCTGCCGGCAGTGACCCCTGTCCTCTGCACCTGCCACCAGTGACACCTGTGCTCTGCCCTGCCAGCAGTGACCTGTCTTCTGCCCTGCTGACCTCTGTTCCTCTGCCCCTTTACATTTTTTGCATCACCCCCACATTGACCAGGCTAGATCCGGCCCTGCCTTACACTAGCCAATAGTTCTGATTTAAAGAGGAACTTCACCCAAATCTTAAAAAGTGAAGAAAGGTGCAGTTTTTAACAAGTTCAGCATATGGAAGAGCTATGAGCTTCCAAAGAGTGAACCACTAACCACCAGCTGATGGCTGCTAGCTTGTGCAGTTTTCTTCAGCCAACTCCCGGCTTTAGGGCCAGTTCAGACTACAAAAATGTACTCCAGATACATTCCGGATATGTTTTTGCTTACAGTTCACACCACACGCAGTTTTGATGCAGTTTGCTATGTTCCAGTATGGTTCTGTGCAGAAAAAATGCAGCTTTTTTTTCTGCACCATAAACTGGAACTGACTGCACTAGTGTGAACCAGGGCCATTGGAATACATGGAAAACACTGTGCATGCATTTTTGATGCAGAAAAAAGCGCACTGCACTGCATCTAGTGTGAACTAGCCCTCAAAGTGAAAGTGATGTGGCAGCTGTATGAATAGCCACTGATCACTTTCACAAAGTGGGCAGCGCCGTGCACCACAAATGTGACATATCGCCACAAATGTCAGAACTCACAGTTAAAGTGGTTGTAAAGGATCAAGGTTCTGCATTCTATGCATGAGTTTTTTATGCGTTTTGTGTTTTATTTTGCCCAGCAACAAGTTGAAAAAAGGCAAAATGCATCAAAAACGCATGTGCAAAAACACAAAATGCACCACAAAGAGCAATGCAGAAGCGCATCAAACGCAGACTGCATAGATGTTAACCTAGCATGAAGGTAAAAAACCTGTGTGCAGCAGACCCCCCCAGCACCCCTAATACTTACCTGAGCCCCATACCGATCCAGGGATGTGAGCAAGAGCCTTGGCTCTCCAGGGACTCTCCCTTTTCATTGGCGGTGACACCGGCGACACCAAACATGTCATACTTACCTGCTCTGTGCAATGGTTTTATGCACTGAGCAGCTCCAATCCTCTTCTTGGATGCCACGCCGGCACTCCTGGCCCCTCCCTCCTACCGAGTGCCCCCCATAGCAAGCAGCTTGCTATGGGGGCATCCGAGCAGGCTGGCTCCAGTGCTGCTGCTCAGTGTGTCCATTCACACTTGGCCCCGCCCCCTCTTACTTCTCATTGGCTCACTGGCTATGATTGACAGCAGCAGGAGCCAATGGTTCCCACTGCTGTCTTAGCCAGTGAGGACAGGGAATCCTGAAATAGCCGAGACTCCAGTGCACATCGCTGGATCAAGAGGGGGCTTAGATCCAGCATGAAGGTAAAAAAACTTCAGCCTTTACAACCATTTTAACCCACATGGTACAGCCCCACTGCATGGGAAAAAGAATAACAAATCCCAAAGTTCTCCTTTAACACATTGCCATAGTATCAACAACAGGATTGGTGATGCATAAGTTGCCGATACTCTGGCAATGTGTAAACTAAATTGTTCCCAGTCAGAGTGCTGGGTACGTCTATATGGGATTGGCAGGACACGCAGCACTCTAGAATCATTTCAATGTCAATGTGAACATACGGTAGTATAAGCAATATCAGCTCCGCAGGATTGGGGGAATTTATGTTGCTGTTATTATGGAAACTTCTAATCCCAATGATTCCCCACAAGAATGCTGGAGGAGCCTACACAGGTTTGATGGGGAACCATATTCATTTAAAGTGTTACTAAACCCAGGACCCTGCATTCACTATATCTGGTCTCCCACAGTACACACAACATGGAAATGCAATTATTTTAGTAAATATAAGCTGCTAAATACCTTTTCTCATCAGCAGTTAGAGCAGTCTTGTGACTTCAGCAGAGCACTGGTTAAAGCTTGAAGGAGGAGTTTTCTTTCTGCTCTGGAAGGATGTGACAGTCCCAGGGGCGGACTGGCCATTTGGAAACTCGGGCACTGCCCGAGGGTCCGGGGTCAGTAAGGGGCCCCATGAGATGCCCCTGGTACCTTTTTCATAGGCTTTTTTTGAGTTTGGGCAAGGACACAGGGGCCCCATGAGTTGTCAGTCCGCCCCTGGACAGTCCTGACCCTCTGTCTGGACAGTGCTACTTGGCCATGTGCTGATCACATGCACTCCAATACACACCAAACTGAGCATGTGCATGTGATTACAGATTCAGTCTGTATCAGATGGTCAGTTCAACAAGAGGAGGGGCAGAGAAGAAAGTATCAAACAGCCTTTTTACACTATGCAGAGGATTAACCCCTTAGGTTCAACAGTAAAACCGTACATATCATCACAACTACTTTGTACATCCAGGTGAATTATAGCGCATTTTTTTCAGGACAGATTGGGCTTTTATCTAGTGGTAAATGGTAATGGATATCTCCTGATTTTTTTTTATTATCAAAGGAAAACTGGGCCAAAATAGTAAAAAATCATTTATTTTTATTTAGCTGCGTGTTTCTTGTTACTACCATAACCTACCACCAAAGAACAACCCAAAATACATTCTCCAGCTCTTGACGCAGCGATACCATATATGTGTATGTTATTTGTTGTTTGTACCCGTAGTACAGCCCAGAAACAATAGTGCACATTTTGTTTTTGTCTTTTTTTTTACCTAAAACACACCAACACTAACTGACACTGATACCAAATTTTTTTTAAAATCCTGACCTTTGACCTTTCACCCTGACTTTGACCCAAACACTTACCCTGGCACTGAACTAGATCAAACCTTGATCTAGGTTTTTTTTTTTTTTTTTTTTTACAAACATTTTTTCCCTCTATGCCAGGAGTTAGAGAGATACAATGTATCTCCTTCATTCATAGAGAAAAAAACAAACAAACAAACAAGGGGGCCGAGCTGTATAGTGACTGATCACTGTGATAGCCAAACAGAGGCTATCACAGCAATCATGTGACCCGGAATCAGGAGTCCCGGGTCCTGATCGTTAGAATGGGACCTGGTGCTCTCAGTGACACTGCGGTCTTTGTGTTGGGTGCGCTCCCAGCAGAAAGACAGGTACGCAAATATGTGGCCCCACGGAAAAAAAACCCAGTTCTGTGAGGCCGCATATTTGTGTTACGTCAGCGTCAAGGGGTTAAAAAACAAATGGGTGATGGGGTGAAAATCCCCTGGGGTTACTTTTCTATGGTCCCACACTATGTAGGAACATAGTCTCTTCTTTCACGCTCCTAGAACTATGGACTGTGGGATTTCTAGGGTGCTTAGAGCTGTGCAATGACCACAACTAATGTGCACTGCTCCTTCCAAACAAACAGAAGTGAGAGGGAAAGAAGAGGTTCAGTTGCTCACAAAGTATGTTACAAATAGGCAATACTATAGCAAGAGAAAATATAGAATACGTAGAGGACGTGAATGGATTATTTTTGGCACACAAGTATATTGTGTAGTGTCACTTAAAATGTTATATAGTAACTTCAAAAGTTGTTTTCCATTTCTATAAACAAGTAAGTTTTCAATAATCAATAATGGAGAAGGATCTGGGAGTTCTGGTAGATCATAAGCTTAATACAGGTAATGGCATGCAATGCCAAGCTGCGATTTCTAAAGCGAGCAAAAGCCTCTCTTGTATTAAAAGAGGTATAGACTCCAGAGAGAGAGATATCATATTACCCCTGTACAAATCATTAGTAAGACCTCATCTGGAATATGCAGTTCAGTTTTGGGCACCAATTCACAAAAAGAACATTGGGGAACTGGAGAAAGTAC